TTCTGGGGTCCCTGGAGCTGCTGTCCCAGAGGCTCTGCAGTCACTAACAAGCCCCCCAGGGCCAGGCTGGTGCTATGAGAAGTTCTCTCTCCTGGAACTAGAGACTCCAGGGTCTTCTCCTTGAGCTGCAAACCCTGAGCCTCAGAGTAGGGAAGGATTAATTGGAATCCTCCTCTGGGGACAGCAGTTCCAACACCATCCCTCACTCCTTCAGTGCTCCTGATGCTCTGCCAGGACCAAGGCTGCTCCCCAAGACCCCGCCTTTGTGGGAGGAAGAAGCAGATGGGTTGGTGTTGTTCCTCAGGTTGCTCAGGACTAATTTGGGGTCCCACAGCCCTCAGATGCTTGCTCTTTTCAGATACTTTTAGTCCTGTAAAGAACCTCAGTGAACTCACTGGTTCACTAAGCTGGACCTGGGTGGAAGTGTTTCTCCAGGTTGCTGTTGGTGTCTCATTTTGGGTAAATTGACAATGATGCTCTCCAAAAAAGTCACAACAATTACTGACTGAACAGAAACTGACAGAATCAAAGGTGCGCTGAGGAGTGGTTGTAGGGCAAGGCCTGCTGAGACCTGTGGCGGGGCTCGAGCTCCGTGCGGGTGGAGAATCCAAACAAGCAATCCCGCTCCAGCCACCCCGCTGACGTGTTGTGGGGAGGTGTCTCTCCTTGCTGCGGTGGGTGCTGCACGCTCCCTGCGATGAGTGAGTGGACATGCAGCCAAAGCTGAGCTCTCTGAGAGTGGAGAGGAGTCCCCCACTCTCACCGTAAAGGACAGTTGGTTATTTCTCTCTGAGACCCCTATTTAAAGGGAAACTCAAGGTGTCTGTCTTCCCTTATGTGAAATACAGTGTCATGCGTCCTCCATGAGGGGGCTCTGCCACACCAAGGTAGAGATGTGGAGATAGCCTCGTAGTCCCTGAGGGAAGTGGGGGGGGGGGGGGGGGGGGGGGGGGACGTTGGGGGGGGGGGGGGGGGGGGGGGGGGGGGGGGGGGGGGGGGGGGGGGGCGGGGGGGGGGGGGGGGGGGGGGGGGGGGGGGGGGGGGGGGGGGGGGGGAGCGTTGGTAAGTTGCTGATGTGCTTGCATGGTCACTGAATTGAGACATGAAGTCAGAAAGCTGACGGTGGGATGGCTGATCAGTGGGAAATGACTTGTTTAAGGGAGTAACTACACACGGGAATGACATAAGCTGGCATCGCCACATTAGCCTCTCACTTGGTGGACAAGAGCGATAGAAAAGAGGGTGAGGCATAAGTATTGGTTTGCATGTGTGTGCATGTGTGTGTCTGTGTGTGCATGCAGCTTCATGTGCAATCATGTGCTTCCGGTCAGAGGACGACTTCCAGGAGTGAGTTCTCTCCTTTCAGCACGTGGGCTTCTGAGACTGAGCTCAGGGCCATCAGGCTTGGTAGCAAGCGCCTTGGCCCTCTGAGCCATCTTGCCAGCCTGTTTTACATTTCTTGCAGCTAGGTCAAAGTGGAAATAGAATACAAGTTAGATCTGTGATGAAGAATCTTTCCTGGGATCCAAAACTTGTAAGCTATGACAAGGCCACAGAGACCAAGGAGAAAGAGAACATGGTAGAAGTAATAGAAGATACCTTGAAGTCCAACCTTTACTAGAGAAGAAGGGAAAAGCTATTCATCATAGAGACAGGGCTGGCTACATGGCTCAGCAGATAAAGGCGCCTGTTGCTAAGACTGATGATATGAATTTGATCCCTATGACCCACATGGTGGAAGGACAGAACCATTACCTGCAACTTATCATACACACACATATACATACAAATAAAAATATATATAAATGCACATAAATGAATAAATATAGATAGTTTGTTTGTTTTTCAAGACAGGGTTTCTCTATGTAGTCCTGGCTATCCTGGAACTCGCATTGTAGACCAGGCTGGCCTCGAACTCACAGAGATCCACCTGCCTCTGCCTCCCTGAGTGCTGGATGGGATTATAGGCATGTGCTAAATACACTAAAATCAGCTAAATAAATATTTTTAAATGAAAAGGAAACATGCTTAAAGCATGACAATGTACAGCGAGGAAGGGAACATGGAAGTGACAGAAGATACGGTTCTGGGCTGACTTCTAATAAAGAGGAAGGAACACCCATGATCCAGCATGTAGACAAGAGCCTTGACAGTGCTGTGGGGCTGGAGAGGTGGCTGAGTGGTTGAGAGTCTGTTCTTGCAAAGGACCGAGGTTCAGTCTTCAGCACACGCATGTAGATCACAGTCAGATTCACATTCAGACTCACTCCAGATTCGGGGGATCCAGCGCCCTCATCTGACCTCTGTGGGCACATACCCAATGCACATGCCCGCAGGCAAAAACTCTCACACACATTAAACAAATCCTTCTTTTCCATATTATAATTACAACATTTCTCCTTTCTCTTGCCTTTTCTCTCTCCAAACCCTCCCACATACCTCCTCCCTGCTCTCCTTCACAGTCATGGTCTTTTTTTTTTTTTCCGGTAATGGTTATTGCATGAATACATGTATATGCATACATACATATACCTAAATATAACTTGTTGAGTTCATACAATCTTACTCATGCTTATTATGAAGAAAGAAAGAGAGAAAGAAAGAAAATGAGAATGAAAGAAAAAAAATTGTGACAGTCAGGGAATATTATTTAACACTTGCGTTCCTTGCATTGGAAAAGACTTTTAAACAAGAACCAGCCACAGCCTGGCTTGTGAAGATGTAGAGACGGATGCAAATAGTCTGAGGGCTGTGTGAACAAAAAACCAAGAAAGCACTCATCCTTCCTTAAGAGAAAGGCTGCGTGAGCTGAGACGATGTGAGGGAAACCAGTCCCTAATGGACTGGCTTTCAATACCGTGAGGGACACCTGCTCACCACTGTCCGAGGTCCCTGTGAAGGAATGAAGATGAAGGAGGAAGTACAGGTCAAGAGAGAGGCCGTGCTGGGTGCTGAGCTCCCCGGGCTGAGGACTGTGCTCTTGGGCTGTTTAAGACACTGATTCAGCAGGTTTCTTGGGGCAGGTCTGGGACATGAGCAGCTTTGCTGAGCCCCGTGAGAGACAGGAGAGGCTAGAGCAGATCTGAGTGATTTGGACTAGCACATAAATCTGCTTTGTAGAGTGCAAAAGCAATCAAGAGAAGATGAAAGAAGGTCAAAGAGGACAAACTGGTCTGTCCAGGCCACTTGAACACAAATGTGGCGGTCATGTGTCTACCCAGAGTTCAGTCGGAGTGCTGTGGAAATGTGGGAGGTGGGCCTGGAAGACAGGAAATATCTGCACCCGGCTAGCCAGCTTCCTTGAGGATCAGGACTTGGCCCCACATCTCTTATGAAGCCCAATTTCCCCCAATCCTGATTCCTCTGCAGTATTAATGGCTTGTGGTAAGTTCTGGTGCGTGGAGAAAAAAATCTCTGCTCGTGGAGACATTTAACATCAAGCCAACTTAATGCAGCCAGTCAAAATAGAGGTCACTAGAGACAGCTATGTGAAGGAATAAGAGGAAAAAAGGGACATAAAAAGTCCATTTGACTGAACTCAGGGCTCTATTTTGGGACTGATCTCTGGTTCTACTATATACACACAATACACTGTTTCTGGCTTTCAGCTTGGATGTGTCAACTCTTGCTCATTCCTTACAACATTTCTGGCATCCTGGGTAGGAAATGAGACAGTGTTTTCACGTCTCTTGTCTCCACAGTGCTGGGTCTCCCAGGGCACTGGGAGCAGCTGCTCCTTTGACATCAATGAATCATTTATCCATAGCAGATTGGCCCTGCTGGGGTGTCTGGGACCATCTTGCCAAAGCGCAATAAATGGACCTGAGCCTCAGGAATCGGGTCACGGAGCTTTGCCTAAAGACGGGCACAGCACCGACACCACCAGCACCAGCAACACCACTACCACCAAAACCCAAAAAATCCCAAGTTCATTTAGTTTTGGTTTTGGATATCTGATTAACATGCCTTCTTTAGCGGAAGAGAAGATAGACTGTCTTCTTAGAATCTTAGAGCTATCCGAATAATCTCTTAGAAAGGAAAAAGACGGTTCTACAGACTCCTGAGCATTAGAGGATCACAGCGTCTGGCTCTGGGCATTTGTCCCTCCCTGTGAGTTCACATCCAGGTTCCTGCTTACACAATTCTGCCAAATGCCAAGAGACGCCCATGTGAAGTGAATGAAACCAACACAAGTTCCTTACCCTTCCCTCTTATGTGTGAATGTCAGGCAACAGAAGACGTGGGTGGGCCAAGGAGTAGGCCCTTAGGCTTCGTGATTAACAAGGCTGTTCAGAGAACTGTAATGTCCAGCTATCTCCTGGAAAACATGGACCGTCTGTAAAATACATTGGCCCCCTTCTGGGGGTAGGATGGTTTGCTGAAGGGTCATGCTTTCAGCATCCATGCGTCCCTCCTGTTCCCCAGCAGAAGAGGGGCCAGATGGTGTGAAACAGCCCAAATATCTGGGGCCAACAGTTTGCATTGGCTGGACGTACATTCTCCCTCTATTGATTTTGTTTGTTTGAGACAGGCTTTCTCTGTATAGCCATGTCTGTCCTGGAACTCACTGTGCAGACCAGGCTGGCCTCCCACTCAGAGAGATCCAACCACCCTTGCTTCTGGAGCACTGGGATTAAGGGCGTGCACTGCTACTTGGCTAGACCGTTATTGGTTTGGTTTTGATAATCTTCTTGAGACAGAGCCTCACTCTGTAGCACAGACTTGCTTCAGACCCATAGTAATCCTCCTGCTTCAGTCTCCTCCATCTGTTGTGATGTCAGAAATGAATTATCACACTCAAGTTTCACCTTATTATCAATCTACAAAAGGGTGAATTGGGTATGAGTGGAGCAGTGGCCAGATTTCAGACAAAGGAAGGATTTCCTGGAACTGTATTTACAACATGGGTACTGGGTGTTAAACTCGGGTCCTCTGGAAGACCATCATCTGAGCTCAGCCATCTCTACAGCCCGAGAGGGGTAGTCTTAAGCTTTACGGTGATGACAGTGGTGAGCAGGACGGGAAATGCTGGCCAGGCAGAGTCTAGAGTTCTGGAGCCTGGTGCAGACGATGGACAGGAGGTGGCAGCAATGGTGGTGCTCCGTGCAGTCAAGTGCAGCAGGTCACAAGTTTATCTAGTGTGGTTCGGAGGTCTGGGGAGAAGTTGGGGAGAGCGTGGGTGTGGTGGTTTGAACAAAAATGGCCCCCAGAGACTCATAGGAAGTGGCTTTGTTGGAGGTGTGGCTTTGGTGTAGGAGTGGCCTTGGAGTAGGTATGGCCTTGTGGGGGGGGGGGGGTGTGTCTGTCACAGGGTGTGGACTTTGAGGTTTCAGATGCTCAAGCCAAGCCGAGTGTCATTCTCTCTTCCTGCTGCCTGCTGATTCAGATGTAGAACCCTCAGCTACCTCTCCAGCACCATGTCTGCCTGCACGAGGTCTTGGTTCTCAAGACCTCTGAAATGTAAGCCAGCTCCAATAAAATGTTTTCCTTCATAAGAGTTGCCACGGTCATAGTGTCTCTTCACAGCAATGAAACTCTAAAATGCTTAGTGACTAAACACTAGCTGGAAAGAACAGACTGTGAGGGTTGTGGAACCCCAAATTAGTCCTGAGCAATCTGAGGAACAACACCAAGCCATCTGCTTCTTCCTCCCACAAAGGCGGGGTCTTGGGGAGCAGCCTTGGTCCTGGCAGAGCATCAGGAGCACTGAAAGAGTGAGGGATGGTGTTGGAACTGCTGTCCCCAGAGGAGGATTCCAATTAATCCTTCCCTACTCTGAGGCTCAGGGTTTGCAGCTCAAGGAGAAGACCCTGGAGTCTCTAGTTCCAGGAGAGAGAACTTCTCATAGCACCAGCCTGGCCCTGAGGAGCTTGTTAGTGACTGCAGAGCCTCTGGGACAGCAGCTCCAGGGACCCCAGAATATGAGAATGTGGGTCCTCAGTCCCTCCCTTCCTAGTCAGAAAGGGTTGCTCATGGGGATGTGAGAGCCTAGCCTGGCCATGGTGAGTCACCTTCTGGTTGCAGAAGCCACCTGCTGATCTCAAGATGAGTGCAGGGAGGGAAGATTTTCAGATTGTCTGAA